CGGCGTGCCTGCTTCCAGGGTGCCCTGGGCTCCCTGGGTTTAGATGGCTCTGCTATGGAGAGCGCGACGCTCCAGCACCAACCATCCATGGACGCCCTGGGGTCTCAGGGTTGGGTTTCTTCTGGAAGGCTTCTTTCAGGAGGGGAAACAACTCACAGACACAAGTAATCGTCGATCCCTTGGAAAATACGGGAAAATATGGGCAGTGGGGGGGAAGACAAAAACCCAGAACATATGGGAAAATATTGGGAATCTGGTTATTTGTGCCTATTTACTTGTGTGTTCCAGTTCCCCTTCAAAGCCAGCCAAGGGGAAAGGCCGGGGGCTCCGTGGTTCACGTCGCGAAAGAACGTGGCCTCGGGTATGTTGGGTCGGCGGGGGGAGGGTGAGAGAGGGGAGAGAGAGTGAGAGAGAGGGACGGATGGGGGAGGCAGGGGGGGGGGCAGTGAGGAATGGGCAGGAACGGTTCTTTGGAGGGATGGGAGAGGGCGGGGGGTGGGAGGGGAAAGGAAGGAAGGAGGAGGGGAGGGAGGGATGGGCCAGGGAGGGGTATGGAGGGATGTTAGATCGAGGGGCAGAGGGATGCGGGAGGGGGGAGTCGGGAGAAGGGATGGTTCGGGGAGCGAGGGAAGGGGGAGGGAGGGCGGGTCGTTGGATGGGACAGGGAGGGTGAGTGGGGTCGTAGCTTGTTTGGGAATACATGCAGCATCTGATGGACCATGTAGTGCAATTCTGAAGGGGCCCAAGGACACACAACTAAATACACAAACAAAAAGAGTCCCCATATTTTCCCATATTTTCTGGTTTTTTGTCTTCCCCCTCACTTCCCATATTTTCCTATATTTTCTCGGGAATCGACGATTAATTGTGTCTGTGTTTTTTTTTTGCCCGTCCTGAAATTCATCAGCTTCCTGCAACCTTCAGTCAGAACTCGGTTCCCAGGCAGGACGCCACTCGTCGTCCACAGCCATCGAGTCACCCGGCTGGAAGGGGTTGCTCGATCAGCCAGGGCTCATGAGGAAGGCTACCAGATGGGTCCGGCACACTTCGGTTCTACTTTGCAGCATGGCCTGTTGGTATCATGGCTACCGCGTCCGAATATTGGGCGGGCTGTCACATCTTCTAGCGTGCGAGAAGTGTTCGTTGTCGTGAGAGATTTGAGTGTGTGTGTGTGTGTGTGTGTGTGTCCGTCGCTGCCCTTCGCACCCTCCTTTTCGCGCGCTGCGCCGTCTTGTCTGGCCTCCCACGCCCGTTGCACGACAGACGGCCGCCTGCAGCGGTGCACATGCCGTCATGGAACTACGCTCCTGTAACAGCAGCCGCGAAGAGAGGGGAGATGTGCAGCGAGAGGCGAGGGCGACATGCGACAGACCTCAGCCGGGTCGTCGACCTCGGGAGCCCTCCTGGCTCGGCCCGGCGTTTCCTGTTGCTTGGTGTCCCGAGGCCTGCACCAGAAGCCCGCAGCTGGACCTGGGAGGACTGGCAGAGGAGGGCTGGTTGAGGCATCTCAGAGCGTGAATTACCTAGCCCGCTTTCGCTTCCAGGCAAAACCAAGTCATACCACGCGCCTCCTCGTCAAGCGGCCTGACCAGCACAGGCCGCAGTTTGGCATCGTTTGGTATCTCTTGGAAGCGAGGGTGGTCAAAAGCGAGGTAGGTTGGTTTTCCCCCTAGCATCGGCGGACCTCCCAGGGTCTACTCCGATCGGATTCGACAGCGCTCCTGGCCATGCGATCCGAGCCGATGCCGTTGCTGTGCAGCTCGGCGCAGCCGAGCCGATTCGACCCTGGCTCCCTGCCGAGGCTTGCCGTTCTGACTCCTGTTCCGATGTCCCGACCCGATGCTCGCCGATCCCGACCTGCTTCCCTCCCTCCTTCGTCCCCCCCCCCCTTTCCGTCCCCCCCCGCTCCCTCGGGCGGGCCGCCGTTGCCTCGGCCGGCCCTCCCCCGAAGCAGGGGCCGGCGCCCCTCCTGCCGGGCCCCTCCCTCGCTGCAGGGCCCCCCCTGCGCCGCGGGACGCCGGACGCGAGCCCCGCCCGTGCCTCCCAGGGGTTCCCCTGCACCTCCATCTCCCATACCTCCCGACCTCTGCGGAAGGCGCGCTCAGGGTGATGCATCGAAACTGTGGAGATCCTCGGGAGACGCAAGCAAACTCAGCGCTCCACGAAGCGCAAGGAGTGTGGCAGGCCAGCACGGAAGGTCTGGAAGAATGAGGGCGAAGGTCCACCGTCACCACACTCGGCCTCCGCGGGCCGCGTGGGCCCCCCCGGCCGCCCCTCTTGCGGCCTCGGCGGCCCCTCCGGGCGCTTCTCCGGCCGCCGCCGCCGCGCCGCGGCCCGCGCGGCCGCGACGCCAGAAGTTGACCAGTTTGAAACATCCCTATCCCTATGTTTGACATCACCTCACCTCGATGCCGATCTTCAGGATTCCCTCAGTTTCTGAGGGCCTATCCCTAAGATTGTCCTCGCTTTTTGCTCGCCCACCTCAGGGATAGGGACACGT